GAGACAACCCGCTTTTCCCCCCGAGCTCCGGGAAGGATGAGCGCGAACGCGGGCCCCACGCGTGGACCCGGCCGGTTCCCGGGGCGGCGGGCCCCCCGCCCACCCGTGGCCCGGCTCGGCCTCGTTCCCAGCAGCCGGGAGCGCTTCCTCCCTCGGTCACGGATCCAGGCCGCTGGCCCAGCTGTCAAAACAGGGGGTGTCTCTTTCATTCTGGCTCACAAAGTCCCAAAGGGGAACAGGGGGCCTTAATGCTTGTGTTTGGACACAAGCAATTATCCCTAATTATTCTTTTTCTTTTGAGCCTGCCCGTCCCGCCGGCGAGCTCGCCGCGCAACAGGCCCCGTAATCCTCCCCGGTCGGCGGATCGCAGTGGGTTCTGTGCGGCCCGAGGCTCGGGCGCTTTCATGTCACTGCGGGTTTAGAGCTGATTCAAACTCATTGCGATGGGGGAATTAACCCCGGGGCCCGGGCTTTCAGGGGCCTCTGATAAGAGATTATACGTGTTGATGGCAAGCTTTTCTTGGCAAAATGTTTTCAAAGGGCTTGGAGTTGTTAAATCAAAGCGCCATTGAATTGCTCGGGACCGTCCCCTCCCCCTCCTCCTGCCCTTCCCCCTCTCCATCTCTTTTCCCTTCATCTCTACCCCCCTCCCCCGTCGTCGCCCAGGACTGTCCACCGTGAGCCGCCCAACCTTCCCGGAGTTGCAAACTCACTTTGCTTAGTGAGATTTTCCCTCCGCGCCTCACCAAGAGAGGACTGTTTTTGTAGGTGATCGGGCTGCTGGGCACTTTGGTACCCCCTTCCCCGCCCTCTCTCCCTCCGCCGCCCCTCCCACTTGCTCTGGTAAAGAAAACACAGCCCAGATGAAAGACAAGGTTTTGTTTTGTTTTTTTATCCCAAACGTACATGTGTTTTGTAGAAAACGGAGGTGACAGGGTGGGATGGGATAACGAGGAGTCAAAGAAGGGTGGTTTTCTTGCCTCCTTCCCCACCCCCATCAAAGGTCAGCGCAGCCAGAGGGATAGCTGTAGGGTTAAACAGTGTTGTGGGCAGAGTTCAGATGTCCCGTGAATCTCACGGTCCCGCCCTGGGGGGCGATTTGAGGCCGCCCAAAGAAAGAAAGCAAATGTTGGGCAGACTGTGTGGGTGCAGGTTCTTTACTGTGGCAAGTCTCTTTATTTAGGGGTCGGAGGCGATTGATATATTTCAGAAGATTACTGGGTGCTCTCCTTGGCCTGCTAGGGGCCCCGTTAGGGTGAAGTAAGGAATGTAACTTTTAGATGGGGGCTGGAAAGGCCCTACAGGGAATAGATAGATATCTCCCCCTTGAAAAAAACAAGGCATTAAAAAACAAGTGCCAAATATGTAAACCGTGTCTCCTGTCATCTTCTACCCTACCCCCAAATACATCACATACTCCACACTGTACTGGTCAATTTCCACAGCTAGTTTTCTTGGCCATCCAGAGCTTCATCCCTCCTCTCCTTCCACCCACCCCATCCCTGGAACCCTGGAACTGGAACCCTGTCTTTCACCCATTTGGCTGGTCCCTGCCAGGAACCCCTGGGGTTCCACCTATGCCTCGCTCAGTGGTTGGGGTCTTGCTGGGAATGGGTGGTAATTGGGAGAGTTGACTGCCTGACTCAGTATCCGCACAGCACACTGGATTGGACCCATGGCACGCCAGCTGCCGCCTGTGCTCACTAGAATTCGCACTGCATTGGGTCTCTAGGCAAATAGTACCCCCACCCTCTTCCTGTTTACTTTTTCCTTCCCACTCTAGCTTTGCTACGACCCAGTGTGCCTGTGCAGAAGCCTACTCGAGAGCCTGACCAAGTTACAACAAAACTTGGTGCCAAGTTGGCACCCATTTGGTCTGCTGGCTTCCTGAGGGAAAACTGGTTCCTTGATTTGTTTTTCTGCTTGCTTCATGGTTAATGAGCTATGGGCCCTTTAGGAAGCAAAATTCAGTTCTGACTTTTTGTTTTACATTACCATAGAATCTTTGGCACTCGGTCTTCCAGTAGCTGGCTAATGTGTAGCTAGCTTTGTCTTTTCTTAGCTTATATTGTCTGAGGTACATATGTTTTTTATAACCTTAATCTATTTCATTGGTAATGTTTTATTTAAATTTTTGATTCAGCATTGATAACTGAAATTCACTTAGTCTTCCTTTTATCAAGTTGTTGTCTGGTTTTGGTATCAGTTATACTAAATCAATTCCAATCCACCAATATTCACTGAGTGCTTCCTATGTTCTAAGCATTCTCAACAGTGAAGAAAACAGATGAAAAAGAGCAAAAGTCCCTGCCCTCATGGAGTTGACATTATAGTGGAGAGATAGACAATAAAAAAATTAAGAAATAAATAAATGATATAGTGTATTAGAAAATAAGTGTAAAAATAAAGCAAGTATTAAAGAGAGATAATAAAATGTGTTGGAGCGGATATGAAGAATTGCAACTTTTATACACTGTGGGTAGAAATATAAAATGATGTAGCCACTTTGGAAAACAGTCTGGCAGTTGCTCAAAAATTTAAACATGGAGTTTCCATATGGCCCAGCAATTCTACTCCTGGTTATATATCCAAGAAAAATGAAAACTTATGTCCACACAGAAATTTGTACATAAATGTTTATAGCAGCATTATTCATAACAGCCTCAACTTGGGAAAACCCAAGTGTTCATCAATAGATGAATGAATAAATGAAATATGATATATTTTATTTGGCCATAAAAAGAAATGAAGTACTGATATGTTCTGCAATATAAATGAAACTTAAAAAGTTAATGCTAACTGACAGAAGTCAGTCACAAAGGACTGCGTATTGTATGACTTCATTTATATAAAATGTCCAGAATAGGCAAATCCATAGACACAAAAAGTAGATTAGTGGTTGCCAGGGGCTGGAGGGGAGGGGAATTTGGGAGAAATGGGGAATGACTGTAATGGGTACAGGGAGTAGGGGGAAGTGATGAAAATGTTCTAAAACTGTGTTGATTCTGTGACTATAAAAAATATCACTGAACTGTATATTTTAAATGAGTAAATTTCAGGGTATATGAATTATATCTCAAGAAAGTACGTAAAAAATAAAGGTAATAAGTGTGGAAGTTCTGATTGCTTCAGTTTTCTCAGTGAGATGGAAAACAAGGTTTTTAGTGGGTGGGAAGGTAGAGGATGAGATGTGGGAAATTTGAGGAAAAAAGGTAAAGATATTAAATAATCAAGTGTGGGAGCAGGAGATAAATGGACTAGGAAAGATAGTATGTCTGCTAGGGAGCAGTAAGGCTCACTTGAGGTTTGTGATCCTGAATTTAATATAGGACCTTCAGATAGGGTATGCATTTTTCTTCTGCAGGTTCAGAGTAGGTGGAAAGTTGGATTTAACTAGGATCATGATTTTGCCAAGAGAGAAGTGCCTGGAAAGATACAAGGAGGTGATTAGAGGTGGTGGGTAGAGAGGGGATGCATGAAATTGAGACTGTGGTGGGTTCCAGTTACAGGGGTGAGCAGGTGGGGGACAAGATCATCAGAGGGAAGGCAATAAAGGAACCAAGCGTTCAGACTATTGGAAGAGTCGTCTAAGAGTACATCGTATTCACCAAGAATGAAGATAGAAGAATAATTGATAGTGATGTAGGAGCCAAAATAGCTGAGAAATGAGAATGAGGACCCAGAAATCATAGGCAGAGTAACTTGGGACATTTCTACCTTTCTTTGAAACAGTTTGTATAATATTTGGATTACCAGTTCCTTAAATGATTATGTTTTTAAACTAATGATTCCATTTCTTAATAGCTGATAGTCTATTCAGGATTTTTATTTCATCTGTAGCTTGGATAATTTATCTTTTTCTAGGATTACTGATCATTTTGTTGAAATTTTCAAATTTAGTGACTTGTTAAAAAATTATCCTATAATTTTTAATATCTTTATATTTAGGTAAGACCCTTTTCTAGTCAACTTCTGTATTTGTGAATTTTTTTCTCTTTTTTTGATCAATCTTGAAGGAAGTTTGTCTATTTTATTAATATTTTTTCAAAGAACCTATTATTGGCTTTGATGATTCTCTTTATTTGAACTTTGATTTATCTTATCTATTTCTGCTCCTGTCTTATTATTTTCTTCTTTCTACTTTGGGTTTATTCAGTGGAGGTGCATTAATGGTAAATTATCTCAGACTTTGAGAAAGTCTTTATTTCACCCTGACTTTTGACCCAATGGTTTAGCTGGTGTAGAATTCTAGTTGTCAGTACCTTGCAGATATTATTTCATTCCCTTCTGGCTTCTGTTGAGAAGATTGCTAAGCTAATTGCCATTCTTGTATAGACTGTCTACCTTTCTTTTCTGTATTAAGAGTTTCTCTCTTTTCTTATGATCTGTATGGGGATGTTTTCATTTTGATTTACACTGTAATTTCTGAAACAATTAGTGACTTCCATTATTTCTCAAAATGTTCAGCTATTATCTTTTATTAAAAGTATCTTCACTGATGTATAATTCACATAACATAAAATCCACTCATTTAAAGCATACACTTCAGTGGTTTTAATATATTCACAGAGTTGTGTTGCCATCACCATCCATTACATTTTTTTCTTCCTTTCATCTTATTCTGTCTTTCTGGAATTCCTTTTAAATATATATTGGACTGTTGGGGTTTTAGGGGGTCCTTACCCACACCAAAAGTCAGAATTAATTGAGAGACAGGTAAGGAAATTAAACACATGAAAATCAGAATAATTACTGCTAATAAATGCTGCATTGGAGGATGGAGCATAGATGTGTGACAGCCATAAATTTTTCAGAACTAAACCTTAAAATCATCTACACCCTCTGCGCAGGCAGCACTGAACTGCCACATGCTCCCCATATGGAGCCTGTCTAGTAAAATGTGTGGCCAGAAGTTGTAGATCAGAAAGCATGTTCTGTGTAGGCAGGCTGGCTCCCAAGAAGAGGGCAGGAGGTGGAGGCCTGCTCTACCCCAAACTCACCAATAAGAGAAGTCGCTGCAGCAGGAGGAGGCCGTGTTGTCAGACTGATGGTTAGTCCTCTACGTGAGCGTGCCTGCAAAGGTACCAGATCATTTGGTGAAGCAAACACAATTCTGTTACCAAATCCAAGTATAAACAAACCAAAACTATAGATATTTGGAAAATGCAAAACTGGGGGAAACAGAATTGAACATTTTATATTTAATACAAAGCATGATACATAAAATATCATATTTATCTCAAAATTCAAGGCTATTATAATTGAGAGAAATTTATGAAATATAGTGATACAAGTCACTAAGAGGGAATATGATCATTTTAATAGAGGTTCACATAAGAAAACATTACAGGGTAACAGAACAGAGAATGATTTCTTAAGCCAGTATCCAAAATTAGGCAGAGATAAATTTGACGTGGTCACTTGAAAATCCAGAACATGGTTGACCTTAACAACATTAATATTATTTTGGAAATTTTGCATGCTACAAGATAAATAAAAATGAAATGAATAAAAATTTCAAATATCAGTCAAAATATCTTTTGGTCGATGACTGTATAAAAGGAAAAGACAAAGGAATTAACTGGAAACTGCCTTGAAGTGAAGAATAAAACAAAGGAAATATCAATTCTCCCAAATTAATGTGTTTTTTTGTTTGTTGTTTTTCCTGGGGAGGAGGCCAGGCCACAGAGGTCAGTGGGGAGAGGTAGCCTCAGTGGTCCCCATACTGTAGTCACAACCCCTGCTTCTCCCCTGGAAGGAAGGGGATCCCTCTGCATGTGTGCTCAGTCGTGTCCAAGTCTTTGCAACCCCAGGGACTGCAACCCACCAGGCTCCTCTGTCCACGAGATTATCCAGGCAAGAATACTGGAGTGGGTTGTCATTTCCTCCTCCATTAATGTGAGTTTTAACCCAATTTCAGTTTAAAAATAAAGAAAAAAGTCCAACACAATTTTTCTTGAAACTGTATAAAATTTTAATAAAATTGATAAAAATATAAATGACTAGTAATATCAAAGACTGTTTTGAGAAAGAGAGGCAATAGGGACTGTCAGCTCTGAAAATATATTTTAAAACAACAACAATAAAATAAGATTTAAATACTGAAGTAACACCAAACATATCAATTAAATAAGATACAATGTCCAGAACTAAACCTTGTTATAATATATTTAAGAGTATGTGATAAAGAACTTATAACCAAAGAAATGGAGAATTTAGTAAAGCCTGCTGGCACAACTGATAATTATATTACAGGGATTTATATGTGTCCTCCCATCACTCCCCTCCCCCAAGTTTTAACCGTAACTAAAGAATTAAACTAAAAAGAAAGAAAAATCACAGAAAAAGTACAAGAAAATATGAAAGATACTTCTTCTTTGGAGGGGTGAAAACACTGTCTACTTTGAGGCAATAGAAGCAATCACAGAGGAAACAATCAGCAGACTTAAGTATATAAAAAAAGTTTATACTTCTGTAAAAACAGAAATTATTAAAACAAGACATGGGGAAATATATTTGTAAATAACTAACACACACACACACACCACAAAAAAAATAGTGTTAATATATGTTTGTATAAAGAGCTATCTTACAGTACTTAAATAAATCATGTAAAGAGGTCTCTTATAGTACAGTAAATAGCTTATGGTATGTTCATACAGTGGAATCCAGTTCAGCCATTAGAAAGAATGAACTGGAGCTTATAGTTTGTCATAATGTATAAGTCTCAGTAATATAATAATGCGTTTATAAAAAGTAAGTGCATGAATGCATGCTAAGTTGCTTCCGTCATGTCCTACTCTTTGTGACCCTATGGACTGTAGCCCACCAGGCTCCTCTGTCCATGAGATTCTCCAGGCAAGAATACTGAAGTGGGTTGCCATGAGCAACCAGGGGATCTTCTCAGCCCAGGGATTGAACCCTTATTTCATAGGTCTCCTGCACTGGCAGGCAGGTTCTTTATCACTAGCACCACATGGGAAGCCCAAAAAGTAATAGAATGCATATTTTGGGATATTATCCCAAATTTAAAAAATTTAAAATATACAAAAACCAACACTGTGTGTGTATGTGATGACCAAAGACTAAAAATATTAAAATGTGGAATGGAAAGATATATAGCAACTCCTAAGTGTTTATGTCTGGAAGAGGGAGTGCAAAGTCAGATCCAAGAAGTCTATAAAAGAAGCTCTAAACGTATCTGTTACTCTTCTGTAGGTCTGACATATTCTATAATTAATGAAAGAGGATTTATGAGTTGCTAAGAAAAAAACCCTTAAAATTCCAAAATGAATTTATGAAAATAACATGAACAAACAATTCATAGGAAAGGAAATACACACATAGAAATATATATGGCCTCCGTAGTAATCAAAGAATTTAAAACTAAATGAGATACCAATCACACTTATTAAACTGTAAAAAAAGAAATTTAAGAGAAACATTTTCTCACATAGCCTGAAAGTTAATATGATGTTTTAAAATACTTATACAACATACAGAATCTTAAATTTTCAGAGTGGAAGGTATGGGCATCCAGATTAAGAACTTCAAGATGTGTTTGAGATTTTTCACTTGTTGTTTTGTTGTCTTTGCAGTTAAGACCACACTCTTCATCACCCCTAAAAATCAGGAGCAAATTTCCCTTTTAAAGAACTTCAAACTTCCTGGAAACAAAGAAGGTTCATGAAAGTAGCTAAGGACAGAGGTCTGCCCTAAATGTTTCTCAAATAACCAACTCTTGATCCTTAAATGTCTCTCAAATAAAACTTCTAATTCTTAAACATCCACCAAATCCTCAAACTTTTCTCAAAACATTCAAGACAATTCATAATCCTGCAAATCAAACCCAGACTCTTGTGGAGCCCCCTCCAACCAACCCATGAGCTTGTGTATGTGTGTGTGTGTGTGCGCACAGCGCTGACTTGTGGTTTTTGTTTTTAAGGGCTTGTCAGTCAAGACAGAGCTGTCTCTTGTGAAAGAGCACGCCTCTTCTGTACCGGGACATAATCTAACTCCCCAGTGACTGCCATCAGCGCTCTGGCTTTTTCCATTTGTTTTTAAAGCAAATGGTGTGGGAGGGGGCATCAGTGGAATAAAGATATTGAAGCCGCAGGAGGCATTTTTATTTTTGTTTTTGTGTTTTCACAAGGGAGCCCTAAATATACTGAATTTCTGGCTCCTCTCAGCTCCTAAAGCTGTTTCTTTGGGATTCCATTCTTCTGTAAGTTTCTTCATCACCCCCCACCCCGACCCCTCCAAGGTGGCTAAAAAAGAAAGACCGCAGAGAAAAAGTTACACTTCCTTTAGAATCTAAATATTTGAGTTCATGAGTAAGTGGAGATATGTTTGTGCGACAGCTCTCATCACCCATGCCTCCTGGTGATTTCAAACTCAAATAGAAGGAGAGCTGGCAGTTTGTAGGTTCAGAGATGACTAACAGAAAAAGCCCAGAGCCTGTGTTGATTGAACAGGGACAGAGTCAGGATCCTAGGGTCGGTAACCGCGGAGATGGCTGAGTAAAGGCCCGCTGGGCTGAGACTCAAAGCGGGTGACTTACTTGGATGAAACCTTTTTAGCTCAGGTGAGGGCGAATGGCAGCAGTGGACCAGTAACAGCCAACTCCCCCAGAGGCTGCACCACGTGCCAGATGGGATTCCAAGCACTTGGCATGGTTTCACTCATGTAGTTCAGATATTAATACCAGTATCCCTCCCACTGGCTGTTCAGGACATCCTGCCATGGTTCATGCTCATGGGAATACATCAGAGATGGGTCAGGAGCCTTACTCTGGAAGTTTCTTTGAGTCAGGTGAAATACACTGACATTCTACTATATCATCTTCTAGACCAAAGTCTTCCTTCTTAATAGTTTTCTTTTTTCTCCCCTGTAGATGTATGACTAAGGATGCAGAAATTATGACATCCTTCAGCTTTGTATCTCCCCTGAACTCTATGTTTGTAGTGGCTCTCTGGTTTAGTTTGATGCATGATTTCATTCTTATCAAAGATGGCTTTTAAGAAATATATGTATAAAAACTCAGCACTAGAATTAATCTTTCAGCTTTGCTTAACCTTACAGAACCGAATGATCTATATGCATACTGGACAAATATATATTAAAAGTGAAATATAATGCATTTAAAAATTCATGCATAAAAGTCACTCGAGTTTGTGTAATATTTAAGGAAAATAATATGTTGACCTATTTCCACTTGAGTCGTTCAGGGAATTTAAAATATTTTAGGATAAGTCATCTTAAAGAAGCTTTAGGAGGTCAGAATGGGACCTGCTTGAATCATAAAGAATATTACATTGCTTTATTATTTTAAAATAATATTTCATTAGATTTATTAAACCTGGGCAATATTTAGAAACTGTTCCTAAATGACGGTAATGTTATTTTTACTTTTTTCTCACATCACTAAGACTGTTTTAACAGTACTATTAGAGGTGTGGTGGTACAAGAGTTACATTCAAAAGAACTTTGTTTTATTTGGTCCACCTCCCTCTCCTCCCTCCCTCAGCCTTACCCCTGACCCCAGCCCTAGCTGCCTCTTTTACTCAGAGATCAAGCCTGAGACGATTGGGCTAAGGACAGACACTTGACCCAATGGAGAGACAATTAATAGACCAGCTGAGCAACCGCCTTCCGGCTGTTGGGGCAGTGACTCGGGTTTGCTGCTATAAATCAGCATCTAGTGTCTGGCATCAGTAGGTGCTCAAAAGATATCTGCTAAATGAATTAATGAAGTTTCCACCCCTATCTTCTCTCTGCCTGCTGAATCCCACAAGCTCTTGTCAGGCTTATTGCTCTGAAACAGAGACTCAGTTACGTCACTTCACTTACCAACCCTCTGGTGATTGGTCCCCATTGCTCAAAGACCCAAACCCCCAACATACCCTCAGAAGTTGATCCTAATCTGCTTTGTAGGCTCCGCTCCCCAAAACTAAGCCCAACTGTGCTGAAACACCATCTGCTGAGATCCCACTCACTCCTTTTGCTCATGCTCTGCTCTTCCCGCTGGGATTACTAACCTGCTACTTTCTCAGTCAGGCTACAGACTGCCCATC